TGCTGGCCGCCCTCGAGCGCCGCCGCTGGCTGAACTCGTACGCGCAGAAGCTGCTGGTCCTGGACGCGCCCTGACGCCGCCGCGGCCCCAATAAAGCCCCCGCCGTGCGCCCCCGACTGCGCGTCCTTCCTGCGCGACGCGTGCGCGTGTGGAGGTGGGGACGGGGGAGCGGAGCGGTCCGCGTCGGCCACCCTGGCGCCCGCCCCTCAGGCCCCTCTCTCTTTTCCTTCCCTGAAAGCGAAACAACCCAAACTTTCCCTCGATGCGTATTCTGTCGCGCGCTCTCCAGGAAGCTGGCTTCTTTCCTCCCTCTGGGTCTCTGCTTCCCTAAACGTCCCCACCAGCCCCGGCCCCCTCTCATTCCGGGCCCTGTCCCTCCCGCCCCCTGTCTCTGTCTCCTCTCTGGTTCTCTGCAACCTCCGAGGTCTCTGTCTCCCTCCGGATCTCTTTCCTCTCTGCATGTTTGGCCCCTTTCTCTGAGTCCTTGCCCTTATTTCGCTTTTCTTTCTTTCTTTCTTTTTTGAGTTGGAGTCTCACTCGGTCGCCCAGCTGGAGGGCCGTGGCCGCTCCCGGCCACCGCAGCCTCGACCTGCTGGGCTCCGGCGATCCTTCCGCCTCAGCCGCCCGAGTAGCTGGTACTACAGGTGCGCGCTACCACACCCGGCAGATTTATTTGATTTGTTATAGAGACGCAGTCCCGCCAAGTTCCCCAGGCTGGTCTCGAACCCGTGGACTCAGGCAATCCTCTCACCTCGGCCTCCCGAAGTGCTGAGATTATAGGCGTGAGCCACCGCTCCTGACCTCGCCTTTCAGCCTCTTGACTTTCTGGCCTTCTGGTAATCTCTGCATCCTCGCTCTCTTTCTTTGTGCCTCGGAAATGCTTCCTTTCCTTCTTCTTCCCTTTCTTTTTCCCTCTTTTCACTGCCTAACTCCATATTTTCTTTTCTTTCCTCCGCTGAGTTTCCATCTTTCTCTGCACCAACACTCATTTTCTCTAAATTTCGCTATTTCCCCCCTCTTCCCTTCCAGACTTCTCTCCAGGCACAGTGGCTCTGGTACGACACACACCTGGCATCCAAGTCTAGGGTCCCCCATATCAAGCTGACTGGTATTGAGAACGACATCTTAACCTCTTTGTGCCTCTTTGCCTCTTCGGTTAAGAGGATCAAGCCTAGACTTCATGAGAAGACCTCAGCGCAGCGCCCTGCACGTAGCACAATGCTTTTATTAGGAAAGGGTTTCTTAGCCGGGCTTGGTGGCTCAGCCTGTAACCCCGTGCCTTGGGAGGCTGAGGTGAGTGGATGGCCTGAGCCCGCGGGTTCGAGACCCGCCTGGGCCACTTGGCGAGACCTCATCTCTACAATAAATC